ACTAAGCCATCCCCTACATACACACACATACACACACACACACACACACACACACACACACACAGAGATGGGGCAGGAGAAGAGATTCGCAGTCATCTTGAGAAAAGTCATAAAAGTTCAAGGAAGAAAACATTTGAATCACTGTCATCTATATCATAAGGGACAGGAAAGCACCCTGCTCAACTCTGGGTGTATTGCTGGCATCAAAGCAGGATTTTTGTTCATTTGTAGGGGGCCTGCATTCATAGCCTACTCCTTGGCATGCTGGAGATCTCTGGTGTGTCAACTCCCCACCACTACCAGTTGCTAAGGATGGGTTGCTGCAGAGATGCCTGCCTGGCCAGCTACATTAACTTCTAAAACACGTCCAGCCAAAAGTGCAACATGGCTTATTGTCAGTGCAGAGAGCCTCTCCCTCCCTGAAGAAACAAAATTCTAGAACCTGAAAATTGCTTCCTCTTTCCTCCCAGCTTTGGATGAATTTGACACTCATAATTTTGTCTAAGGAGCCATTGTTGGATAGTAGCCAAGTTGGCTTTTGGAAAGAAAAAGTTTTTTTAAAAGATCAGCATTGATTAGTTTGGTTCTTCATTAAGTGAAGCACATGTGGTAAAGGGAATAATTAGTGAAGTTAATTGCGGCTTCACAGAGAACCAAGGGAAATCCAGCGAAATGTCCTGACATTCACTGAGAGCAATATGTTCATTGCTTCTGCAGCTAATTGCAATTAGCAAGTGAAGGAACATACATACAGTCTCCACGTGTAATTAATCATGTGCCTTTATTACAGTAGATACAAGCTGCTGACTGACAACAGACACCTGCCTTGTGCTGTGCCTCCACACTCCTGTGTAGATCCTGTTGGTTACTGCTGTATTTCTTTACCTTCCTTGTACCTGTGTTTTGTGCTTCTTGCACATTCTAGTCCTATATTTCTGGGACAGGGTTTCTTGGTCATGTCCCCTCTTAAAACAGACATCTAAATATCCCTGACATAAAATGCACTCAATAACTATTTGATAAATGAATGGTGCATAAAGGGAAAGGATCTTCTCCCATTTGTACAGATTACAATGGCCATTGACTCTTGACAGTCACAGAAAGGCTGACTCTGAGGATATAACGTAGTGAAAACAAGGAGACTTCTGAATGGGGCTAAGATGAGGCACATGTCTAGAGGTGGCAGTTCCTGGGTTGCCTGGGTTGAATAAACAAGATGAACCCTGAAGAGAGTCCCCCTTCCTCTTTTTCTGGCACTATCTTCTCAACTATGACTTTGAATTGTCAGACACTGGCTTTCTTGTTGCTGCCATTGTCACCCTTAAATTGTATGTCTCTAACACCCCACCTCGAAGAGAATCCATGCTGACTTGTTTCTTCACTGTTTTTACAAATCTTAGATTAGCAAAGAGATAAAGCCTTAGAAAAAGATTGAACCTTGACCCTTTTATACCCTGGAGACTTGAGAAGTTATTTCAGTTTTGGAGTGTATAAAGTCTTAGATATAAAATCATTCTAGATTTGGAGCTTGGACTCAGAGTTTGACATGTATATATCCAGGAATTTGATGTGGTTAACAAAATCTAAGTTTCTGCTAGTCAAATGATGTTCATGTTCTTCTAAGTTACATCATCACCTCAAAAAATATGATTAATCTATTCCAGTAGAAGCTATTTAAGAGATTCCCCCTAATTCTGTGGCTTAAAGTCTTGGAAGGTCATTGCTTTCTCATGTGCCGGGGCAGCTGGCCCATTCTGCTCCACAAAGTCATCCAGGGGAACAGGCAAGCAGGAAGTCCCTGTTATCCTCAACACATGCTTTCCAAGGTTGTTTGGCATTGCCTTTCCAGCCAGTGGAGAATAAATAGTGGAAATTGGTAGCAAGGGATTTCCTTTTAAATAAAAGACACAGAAGTTACACTCATCATTTTTGCTCAAACTCTAGTAGGGAGAACTCAGTGACACCAACCTGAAAGCATGATTGGAACATGCCTTCTCTCTATGGATGCACTTTTTTTTTTACATCCAGAAAAAAGAGAGAACAGATGGTGGTGGGAGACAAATACTAATAAGAGAAGGCTGGTTTTAGAGCCCTAAAATACTTAGTAAAAGTAGCTTTATCTTCACCATTTTAGTTAAACAGAGATACATGCCACATGGTATTGTAATGACCCTTCCATCAATCTATCACGAGCTCTTTGACACAAGAATTGATATAGTGCCTAGCACACAGGAAACACTAAGTAAATATTTGGGACACGAATGATTGAATAGATTAATGAATGAATGCAATATCACCTACATCCCAATTTGGCTTGAGTCCAACCTTGTTTGGAGGACATATTTCTAAACATTTTCAAGTACCTTTTCTGTTCTCATATTTCAGCTGCCTAAATGAGGTCCTGAGTCTAATAATCTGGCAATCCCTTAAAGATTCATGCAACTGGAGGCTTCTGAACTGCACCCACCTCTCTGTCCAACTGACCTCTGGGTCCTGGTGTCACTAAGGCCTTACTTTCTCCTCAGTTTTATTACACTTGATTTTTACCTAGAAAAACTCATGACAACAGTACAATACCTGAGAACAATTTAACTTTTAGGATTAAAATCAAATCAAACTAAAACATAATAAGACCTTCCATCAAACACAAGGGAAGAAAAGGGCATTTGCTGGGTACCTATTGCATTACGAGTTTGAAAACTATCAAGGGAGATCTTGAGTACCCAGAATATTGACACCAACCCAAGGAGGTAGTTATTATTGTTTCCAATTTACAACTGAGAAAATAAAGGCTTAGGGAGGCTAATGACTTGCCGTAGGTCACCACTTAGTGAGATAATTCTGACCTAGTACTATCTGGATGAACCAGTTCAGTTCCCACTAAACAAAACCATTCACTGAAGGCCAGCAAACCCGGAGCTCATTTTAGAGTTGACTTGTGTAACTTTATTAGGGTTTTAACTCATCATTTTGTGTCTTGTCACTTTTTCGTAAGGCCAAAGTAAAACCATCCTGCAAAAATGGCCCAAGCTGGTAATTAGACACCATAGCTTCAGTCTCAAAGAAGGATTTTACTGAAAGGTTGGAGAGTCTCTATACCAGGGGAATTGGGGTTATATCACAGTTCACAGCACGAGCAGGACAAAGTGTTTTTCAATAATTGACTCGAGTGACAGGTGATGACTTCCCAGTTGGGAAGTCACTCTTTAGGGAAGAGACAACCTGATTATTTCAAAAGAAAGCCAGCCAGGCAGACTAACAAATCTTGCTCTTTTCTTTGTTAGGAAACCATTGACTTTTTAGAGATGCCCACTGCATAGATGATAAGAATGAGAAGGCATCAAACAAAATCATATCTGATGAGGTAATTAGAAATAACTGTTGAGGCCAAAACTTGCACATCATTGTCAAATGCAGATGTAGAGGTGCTGAACAAAGGGAGGAAGAGGAAAACTTTGTGGGGCTGCTTCTAGTGGTGATATGGTTTAGGACTAATAAACCAGTGTCCGACTAGTCTGTCAAGGGATCTTCCACCTTCTAAGCCTAGATTATGAATGGTAAATATCTAACACACATGCTTCGTGCCTATGCTGTAAGCACATGTTATTTATGAAATACCATCAGACCCTGGAATCCTTCTTAATTAACAAACTAATTCCTCAGCCAGTAACAATCAATCTGAATTGGCAAAAAAATAATAGCTAATTGTCACCATTTGCCTAAATCAACTTCCTGTAAAGTATCTTTGGTGAAGGGAAGCCAGAATCACCTTAAGTAATGGAGAAGCCTGAGAAAGTGTAAGGGAAGGGAAAAGCTACCCTCCCACATATTGGGCAATAGTTGCAAAGCATACTGGGTAATTCCCATAACTCTAAAACTCTAAACAAAGTCCAAAGAGACAGCCATAAGGCTTTCTTCCCTAGTCTGTCTAAAAGAGAGATAACACCAAGACTACGTCCTATACCACTTGAAGCATTGAGGAGAGAGTTGTCACAATGGTTACATTCTCCTGAAGCTGTAAGTTGTTTCTAACCTGCCTCTGGTAGACCGATGGCAAGCTTAGTCCCATATTCTTGTTCAGAGGACTCTCTTGTCCCCACAGTTTTCCTCTACACATGTGTATCTCATTCACAGAGTTTCTCCCATTCAGTAGGTTCCCTTCTGTTGTTGATTATTTCCTTTGCTGCTCATAGGTTTTCAGTTTGATGTGGTCCCACTTGTTAATTTTTGCTTTTGGTGTCATATCCCCCCAAAAATCATTGCTAAGATCAATTTTCTATGTTTTCTTCTTCTTCAGATCTTACACTTAAGTCTTTAATCCATTTCAAGTTAATTTTCGTGTATGGTGTAGACAAGAATCCAATTATTTTCCTTTGCATGGGGATATCCAGTTATTATCTCTTGCCTTTGGATATTCAGTAATTATAAACACCATCTACTTAAGAGACATTTCTTAAATAGTACTGGAAGTTCTAGCCTGAGAAATGAGACAAAAAAGGCATCCATATTGGAAAGGAAAAAGTTAAATTGTCTCTGTTTGCAGATGACATGATCTTACATAGAGAAAATCCTAAAGACTTCACCAAAAAAACTAGAACCAATAAATGAATGCAGTGAAGTTGCAAGATATAAAGTCAACAAAATTAATAAATTTTCATTTATTTGTGTCTTCCTCAATTTCTTTCATCAATGTCTTGTAGTTTTCAATATACAGACCTTTCACCTACTTGATTAAATTTATTCCTAGTAATTTTTATGCTATTGAAAATATGATTGCTTTCTGATTTCTTTTTCAGATAGTTCATTGTTATTGTATAGAAATGCACCTGTTAATTTTGTTGACTAAAATGCAGATTCTGATTTAGCTGGCCTCAGAAGGGACCGAAGATTCTTCATTTCTGACAAGCACCTGGTCATGCTAATGCTGCTGATTTACAGACTACACTTTAAGTAGAAGGTTAGACTGTTGGGGATTAGCACAAATTTGGCCGTTAGTCTTAAAGGGCATTATTGTTAAATTTTATTATGTATATTTATCCAAATGCCATTTGCACATGGCACACTTTGAAAAGTGTTGGCTTCTAGAGAGTAGGGGGGATTAGAATGATTTAATGTTGATCCTTCAACATTGCAAAATGTTGACTCAAGCACCATTTAAAAATCAAGTCCTCGATTCAGGCGATGGTTACGTGAAAAGCTGAGACTTCGCCACTACACAACATATCCATGTAATACAATCACACTTATACTCCTTAAATTGATATAAATTTTAAAAATAAAGAAAAAAAGAAAGAGTTTGGGTGTTTTCTTTTGTGATCCATGAAATACAACAGTTTAGGGTAGATTACATAAAATTAAATTTATGGGAGTGCTTGATAATATCTGGCATACCACAGATACTCAGTGACCATTATGCCTAGTTCATCTTTTATTTCCTTGATTGGTTCTGCATACTTTATGCCTATCTTATGCTATTCTATCATTTTTAAATACTTGTGTGAATTTTTTAATCCATGTGCTTATGATCTATGTACCTTACTGAATCACCACTTCCTTGAGGGCACAAATATGACATATATATTGAGTGTTTCCTTATATTGTAGAATGTGGTCTCTTGCACCTGTGGTCACTTATCTTAACTCAACTGATTAGAAAAGTGCTAATAAAAAATGTCTATCCATCCATCTCTCCCACAAGCCTGCCTGAACTTCCTCCATTACCAGTTAGTTCCTTGAGTTAAGCCAGAGCTCAGAGCAAATGTGAAAGTATCCACCAATAGAGAGGGAACACACTGATTTATTCTCTGTCTGTCCTACCTAATGAAGGAGTCTTTGGTCTGTAGTCAGAGTTCTTCCTCACGATGGGATGAATCAATTTGAGCAGGGAAGGAGGCCAAAGTCTAGGTTAAGGTGTAAAGGGAGAGTTGGACACCTGAGAGCTAACTTAAAAGAGTACATTAATCCAGTACCCTATAGTCAGCCAAGGACAGCACAGAGAGTCCTGAGAGACGTGGGGTAATGGGTGGGTGGCAGAGGCGGGAGGAAGGCGAGCAGAAGCAGTAGGAAGCCACTGTATTGCAGATACCCTTCTGTTTGCCCACTCACCTTTCAGCCACTTGGTGGCACTGACCTCTCACACAGGCTCTTAAGAAACAGCAGCGTGTCACATACTGCAGCATGCAGTGTGGCAGTGTGTTCTGGTGCCTCCTTCCAGCCAGAGGGGCGCCTGCAGAGAGGTTGGCAGTTTCCATCTTGTCCCCACAGGGAAGGGGCATTTCTTGGAGTATCTCATTCCCTTTGTGGTCAGTGCTCACGTCAGCGTGATCCTCTCTGTATCTTCTCTGAGCTCAGGAGCCAGTACTAAAGGAAAAACATGGGGGACTGTATTCTAACTGAAGAAAGGTGAACTATGGTATTTTCCAGAAAATTCCACTAGTGCTTTCAGGACTCTGGGTACCACCTGGGACACATAAATAGCATTCACCCAACTCCATGGCCTGGCTATATCCTCAGCCTCCTCCTCGGAGCATCCATGAAGAATGACATTGAGCAGAAAGGATGAGGTCTTCCTCTAGGCTATTGCAAGGGCCAGATTTCTATGAAGAGGAAAGGCACATCCTTCTATATCCAAAAACCAGCCTCTCTCTAGAGGCTTCTCCTACTCATATCATAGAGCAGAGTGGCCAATGCTGGGCCCTGAATCCACACCATGGCCCTGTTGACCCCTGCTGTGACTCTATCCACAGCCCAGAGAAAGGTCAGTGCTCATCGCAGAGGACAGTAGGCAGTGGGGGTATCGCAGGAAGAACTCACTGCTGGGCATGCAATGTAATCCAATTTTCTATTGTTTATTATATTTACATGTATAAAAGATCCTTGTTTAATATTAGTACTGTGAAGGACACCTGCTTGCTGCTAGGGGATACAATGCTAAATAAACATAGTTTTTGCTCATATTCCAAGCATGGAGAGTTTAGGAAGATGAATAAATACAATTTATTGACCATTTTCTAGGCACTGTATTATACCAACTTTTTATATCTTTTATATATATTTGTGAGTGCATCTATATATGTATACATACACACAAATATATACTTATACATTTACATATCTTTTTAAATACATATACATTTCTGTATATAGATATGAAATATCTTTATATATACCATTTATAACAGAATGTATTTCTGTATGTATGTGTGTGTATATACCTTTCTATATACATAATATATGTATTTTGGAAATGACAACTCTTTTTCTAATAATAAAAGCAATAGAGGAGTGGTCAAGAGCACATGAATTTAAAGTCAGAATGCCTTTTACCTTGAACAAGTTACTTATCCTTCCTTGAGCCTCTTTTCCCTTCTGGAAAAGAAAGAGATAGAAAATAATGTGAAGACTGAGTGAGATGAAGCATAATCCAAAAGTACATGCTTGATAAATAAGTTAACAAGTATTATCATCATGTGTATTGTTTAAAAAAAAAGAGTCAAGCAATTTTCAAAAGGCACAGAGAAGGAACTAACAGTGTCCTGTAAACCCATAATTCAGAAGTAGAACAGTTAATACCTTGCTAAATACAAGCATGAGTTAAAAAAAAAACATGAGTTTTTTTTTAAATGCATTTTGCTTTCCCCAACACACAATTATGTACTCTGATTTTACAGAAAGGATAAAATATTCTAGTGACCATACATATCCTATTTTTCCTCAATATGGAGGAAGCATTGTTATAATTCAGTACATAGAGAATCCTACTGTCTTTTTAACAGTTTCACAGTGTTTTAGTCTGCAAATCATCAAGGTGTCTCCACTACTCATTTTATTTCTTTTTCTAATGGAATTGGCACATCTAGAAAAAAACACCACCAGATAGTATTTATGACAATGAACATTCTTTTCATGTTTCTTATCTTAATGGGAATTTTAACACTGAGCTTGAGGCTAGCCATGTTATAATGCTATGAACATATTCATTTATTGATATTTGATTGAAAGTTTTTGTATCAAGAATGGATGTTAATTTTTATCAAACGTTTTTCAGTATTTATCAAGTTGCATTGTGTTTTTCTTTTGCTCTTAGTAAATTGAATTATAATCACTGATTTCCTAAGATTAAACAATTAATGAAGTCATAGAAAGAACCCTCCCTCGTCATGGTGATTTTTTCTTTAACGTACTGCTGGATTCTGTTTGCTGATGATTATAGATGTCCAAATCCCAAATAAAATAGCTATAATACACATGATATTCTTATGTGCTCTTTGGACTTATGTTAGTGCTAATGCTATTTTTTTATAAAAGTAATTGGAAGTATTTTGTTCTATTTTTATGCTTAAAAGTCTAGGTAGATTTGTTCCCTAAAGGTTGAAAGTATTTGCCAGGAAAATAATCCTTTACAAATTTCACAATATTTAACACTAGATCCCATAGTATTTTAGTTTCTACCTCTCCTAGGGTCTTTTTTGGTCATATATTTTCCCATCTGGGGGTAAAACTGTCACAAAGCCCTGAGGCTCTTCAGCTATCTTGTGGAGTCAGCATGTTTTCCCTCCACATAGCCACCTTTGTCTGATAGTGTTCCTCATTCGCTGTGAAAATGGCTTTTCCCTCCTCTCCTACTATTTTCTGAAATCTCCAGGTTAAGGATTCATTCCTCCTACAACATCAGAATAAAATCACATGGCTGTGGAAAAGCTGGATCAAAACCACACAAAGTCTGGTGATAGTTGACCTTGAGTTGTGTTCTCCATTCCTAACAGTGCTGTTTTCACAGTGAAGAAAATTGGGCATAGCCTGCCATCCCTGGCCTTCCCAGCCCTCCAGCCCTCAAATCCTCAACAAAGGAAACCAATTTTATATCATTAAATACCTACTTTATGAGGACATAGCTACAATCTCCATTTTATAGAGGAAAGTGAACATGGACACATTTCTTCACCAAGCTGACCTCACAGCAGCGCAGATCCAGCGTTTGAATCAAGACTGCCTCCAAAGCTCATGGCCCCTCCATTGCTGTCACCAGCATATTTGAGATCTGGGCTCCAGTGGTCCTTGAAGCCCTATTGTACTTTGTCTCCTATAGAGTTTAGGGACACATGGAAATAAGTAATACAGTTAGAATTCTGTCACTTGCAACTTAAAAGTGCCAAATTAATAGAGGTGCTAATGTGTACTCATCCATCCCTACCTGATCGTAAACCCACTTAATGGTGCACTGTGCTCCGTCCTTCAAATCTTTCTAGTGCAGAGACTCCAATGGAGTAGGAGCTCAAACTTCATAAACCATAACAAAGAAAATCAAGTTCCAAGTCAGTAATCATTAGATTGATTCTGTCTCTAGGTTCTAACTATAAATCATAGGAAATCTAACTTAAAATGTATAACATAATTAAACATTAACAAGCATGATATATAACTAGAGAAAAATGGCAAGCTAGAAGGGATAAATTTCAGCATCCTACGCAGATACTATGTAGTCAATCCTGGCTAATCTGGTTATCTCTTTAGATTTTAATTTCCACAGCCATAATGTAAATCACTGAGCTCATACAGGATAAAATGTGTGTGAATCCTTGAGGATTAAGTGCTGGCTGCAATCGAATATTAATAAAACTTTTTTAGAGACAAATAGATCCCAAATCTCAGATTCCCCTGATGACAAGAACATGATTACAAATCTGTTGTCTCAGTTTCATGGATAACGAATCTGACCTTGGGCAAGTTTCTTCGCAAAATTAGTTTACCTGAAGTGGCACAAATCATATTAAACAATTCCTGAATTCCAAGGTATAAGAGAAGCTAAAACCTCCAGAAACGCCCCTCACTTCCTTTTTCACTTGTTTGGACTGCTCTAGACGTCACTTTATGATGTGGAAAATCAGTGCTAAAGGAGCAGTGAGATTTCTCTAAGGTTTTCTTTTCCAGGGTTTAGGTATTTTCACGTTTAGAGATGTTTGCCTTATCTTTGGAAGGGAAGTATTTGTCATCCAGGAGCATACTGCACTTTTGGCAGTTCTTATATTGCTGATGTTGCTAAACGCTATCATTTCCTTTAATGATATTATTCATAAGAACAGTAATTGCTCTTAAAATGGCAACATGTTCTGTGTTCCCAAACACAATAACAGTCACTCTCCTGAAATGTGCCCACTTTCAAAGAGTGGAAGGAGACCCATCCCCAGCTACCTAAGAATCACTTGAAGAATCTTTACTACCATGAGCTCACTGTGAACTAAAAATGCCCCAAACAAATCATGTAACAGTTATTTATTGGATTTACTCACTTAAAACATACAAAATCCACTTAAAAATTGAACAGCTATTTCTTCTTCTATCTTCAGATATAAAAATAAATTATTTGCTTGAGATGATAGCTGAGTTCCAACCATCACCTGATGTGCTGGAAAAAATTAATTATGCAGCAAAGATTTTTGCTAAATCAGGGCTTTCTACAATCCTGAGATATAAACGTTGTCTATAACCATATCAAAGGAAAAGATTAGATGTTGAGCTCAGCTTTATTTTGCCAATGTAGAGGATGGAAAGAAAAAAAAAATGAAAAACACCTTTTCTTGAAAAGCAATTAGTCTCCAGGGGCTAACACTGTACTTGGTGTGCCAAGAAAAATAAAGAGACAGAGAACATTTGCTGTGAAATTACATAGGATGTCTTTGCCTTTAAGAAAAGAAAAGACCTTACAAACATAGCTCTCGACCTCTAGAAGTTGAAATGTGAGTCTAGCCAATTAGTGGGAATTTCTGGGTATAAGACATTCTCCATATTCCCGCCTCTGCTTCTGCTGTTCTCCATCTAGATGCCCTCTCCTTCATCTGGGTGATGGAAAATCTGTCTGTCCTCCCACAATCTCTGGTCTTCCTCCAGGAATAGCCCAGTGATGGAGAACACCCTGTATGCTAGGTGCTAGGTCCTTCGTCTGCGTGACATCTAATCTTCACGACAGGTCTACTGTACAGATGTTTGTGCAATGGGCTGAGCCAATTAAGTCAATGGTACAAACCACTCAAAAGTTACAAGGGAAAAAAGGCAGGCCTTTACATCAGGGAACTCATAGCTGAGCCTCTATGATAGTACACATATAGTTGTTGCTGACAGTAAAATCATACTGTTCTCCCGCTTGTCACAATCGCACAAAACATCCACTCAGACAGGGTCACTTCACAACACAAAATACAAATACCACTTTTTACCTTGGCTAAATGAGTGGCTGCTAGTTCTTTGCCAGTTACAACTTTATTCTCACTCTAGTCTGCCCTCCCTATAGATAAGATTTATTAAGATAGTTTATCATAGAATTGCAGAATTCAGAGAGAATATCCAATTCCTTGGACACTCCCAAAATTACCCATACAAATCCTAAATTTTATTATACGTTCTTTCTAACATCCTGTTACTGAGAAACCTTGCAGTTTCACATGATATGTGTTCCCCCATGTGGCAAGAAGTAATTGACCCAACTTTTTCAACTATAGGTGTGTTTCTGTGGTCTAAAGTCTGTGCTTTCTGACCACTCTGCCACATTCTCACTTGCTCCCTGAATGGCCTGGGCCTCTGTTTTCTCATCTCTAAAATGGGAATAATAAAAATATCTAATTCATAGGGTGCTTGTGAGAATTAAGTGAAATTATGAGATGAATAACTGTGAGCTCTTATTATAATTCCCACTGCCACCGTCTTTACTATTTTTATTACTATGGCACCAGGACACCATACTGCTTTACCATGACCTTTTTGAAGAGCCTGGCTTCATAAGGGTCTCTCCCTCTATACCTCATACATGTATTAAGCTTCTGCTATATGCAAAACACTTTTCTATACCTCTCAGAATTCCCCTTGCTGAAAACATGCAAAATTTTCAAGAAGTGGAAAGCCTTTGCTCACTATTAAAAATGACTTTTATGTTGCCTTGTATATTATTTCTACTTTTATGCCATTTGTCTATGATGAGATGGTTTCTGCCCTTAAGGAGCTTACTGTATCTGGAAGCCATAACCTCCATAGCTCTTGGCACTTAGTATATGATCAATAAAACATGTGTTGATTGACAGATTGAAACAAAAGGCCAGTAGAACAGAAATGTACCACTGAGAGTGTAAAGTAGCACATTCTTTAAAACGTAGGGCTCTGAGGCCTTGGATGAGTAGAAACGAGCAATTCAGGAGCCCTTTGGCTTAAGGCCCCTCTTGTTGGCTGTTTCCCCCCTCTCAGCAGTTCTGGTTTTGCACCCTCCAGGTTAACAAGATCACAATGGTTTAAGCATTTGCCTGCCTTCATCTTAGGAAAAAAAGAAAACAAAAGGAGCGAATTTCATAGCATTATCTTTCAGGAATGGTTTTCTTATACTCCTCTTCTTTCCCATTCTACCACCTAACATTTTTTCTTGGATCCAGATAGCGTAAGTTTCTATTAGTAAGAGAAAGTTCCTTTCTAATAACTAGTTTTCAACACATCCCAAACAACTTCCAGTTTTTACTTTTTTATGATGCAGGGGAGGCTTTCAATAGAATATGAATGTTTAATTTGCTGTATTCAGCAAGCATTCCTTTGATGTCCTCCTAAGACCACTGTGGTAGATTTTCAGTATTCCTTGGAAGACCAGGTAGGGAAACTCCTTTTCCCACTAGTAAATATATAACTTTCTTTGAAAATTGTTTGGCTTTTATTACCAAGGAAAGAGTTGTTTTCTTTAAAACTAATGAGCAATGCTCCCTACTCACAGCCTGATGGATTCTGAAACACCATAATGATTGGAGGGTGCTGGTGTGTGTTCTACCTGGACAAAGATGCTTAACTGTGCCACTCCCACAATCCAATTCAGATGGCAAAACTTGTCCTCCTTCTCCCCTTCTCACCATGGCTACTGCGAGAAGGACAATTCCTCTCCTATTCCACAACTATTTGCATTCGCTCCTTACTTAATGAAAATGAATCCCCAGGACTGAGACTGGGAAGGGATATCCATGTCATGGCATACCATTGCATACATTCAGTCAGTATCTGTGCACCTGAGATAGCCTCCGTGCATTATTTTAAATAATAAAAAAGCAAGATATAGACATACATGGTATATTCCCAAATTCCCACTTATGTAAACTCTCACAACTAAAATCCCTGTATATGGGTTTAAATATTTATGTGTGATTATTGAACATGTGGAAGGTATAGATGGACATATCTTAAACCATACTGATTTCCCCTGGAGGCAGGAGACATGGGAGGAAAAGGGGAGTACAGTAGAAATTACCACCTTTCCCTGACGTATTTTGGAAATGTTTTCACTTCTTAGATCATATGATTTTTTAAACATAAAGAAGAAAAAAGCACACGAAGAAATCTTTTCGTCCTTTCTGACTCTTGAGGTTGTACCTGCAGTGCTCAGTAACTTTTTTCTGGCAAGGGTAAGCAACAGAAGCCTCAGAACACCACAGTGTGATGTGAGAAAAGGGCCCTGGGCTTGCAGCAGGAACATGTGGGTGTAAGAAAATTTGGAGTAAGCAAAACATATTATTGAGTGCCTCCAAAGGAAAATTATGCAGTGTTTTGCTCATACCCTTCAGGATTATCTGATTCTAGCCTTTCATTGCCTTTGAGAAATTTTAAAACTCTGTACATTATAGATAAATGAGAGCAATGCAAAATAATTTCTTACTATACACATGCAATTGAATTTTTCCCAGTAGAATGACATATCTCTTCCTCTCTCACTTTTCTGATCTTTAAATGTGTATGTTCTTTAGATTTTCTGATTATTAACAACATATCAGTTCTCTCATTAATGGGTGAATTAAATAAAATCTTTAACACATGTTCATGTTATCTCAATCATTCATGATTTTGCTTTTTTTAAATGAGTGGCCCTTCACATTGGATTAGACCCCACTGTGACCAGGACAAGCACCACCTACGTCACATAGAGGAGGTCTCTTCACTTCTCTGACCCCATTCATCCATCTCCTTACCCTTCTTTCTTTTATGTTTTCTCTCTTGCTCACCCCACTATCTCCACATAGAATCAGAAGGCTACGTCTGTAATGATGCTCAGTAGTAATTTCTGGGTGGTGGGATTTGAGGATATTTATAGCTTTTTTTTTTTTTTTTTTTTTACTTGTCTGCATTATTTGAATCTTTTGTAATGGGCATTCACCATTTTTATAAATCAACAAAGTGTATGGGAGCAGAGTTCCAAAGCTTGTCAGGATTTCTCAGGTACTCCTTTCTCTCCTAATTGTTTTAAAAATGTTGTCTTCAAAGAACCAGTGCAGTGAGAAATCTGACATATTCATAGGAGTTGATAAACTTTACCAAAGAATAATCTTAAAAATGCCCAGAGTTCAAAGAACAAAATTTCTGAAGGGCTGCCCCAGGTGCTCAGATGCCTCTGTCATAATATGGTCTTTTCAAAGGAAAGCTCAGGCCCTGAGACACTACTAGAGCCCAGCAACTCTGTCCCTGGGTTTCTCCAGCACTACTGTCCCCATGGGGCCTTTTCTAGATGGCCGTTTGTTGGGGCAGACTTGAGTCCCTGATGTATCCCTAGCTGCACCATGGAAACCAGCACATCCATTTTGTAAGAGTATGCACCAAAGGCATTTAATGGAAATAAACCATTCTGACAGGTATGTGCAATATACTGAAGCTCACAAAGGACATTTATGGACATTATCTCATTTGATCTGCATCTAACCTAAATGAGGGAGGCAAAGCAGATGGTAAAGCACTCCTCTTTACAGGTGAGAAAACAGGTGCACAAGTTTCAGAGCCAGAAATCCCAGGAGCAAGTATAGCCTTGATGTTCCGAAATGACCTCATGACCTCCTATATGTTCTCCACTATAAAGCGCTCATCAGAGTTTATGGTGGACGAGGGGGCCAGGGACAGAAAATTATTCTGGACTGTAACATTTTAAAATCTTGGTCTTTAACATCTTTAAACTTTCTGTTTAAAATTGTAATTAATGTTATGTGATTAAATCTCAATAAATTCCTCTTGAGAACTTATTTTATTTTAAAGATATTCTTTAGGGAGAACGAGGAGGTCAGGACTTAAACTCTTTTTCCACTTCCTCCATTCACTCATTCTGAGAAGTGGTGGAGGTTAACTTTGTGAATAATTGCAAAACACCAAACCTCCCTGAGCCTTAGTTTACTCTACACTTTCAGTGAATAATTAGGAGGCTTCAGGGCAGTATTGCATGTAAATGCTAAGCACAGGACCTAGCCCCTAAAAAGCATTCAAAAACTTATCAGTTAATAATGATTGGATAAGACACCAGTTATGACACCAAGCTCAGATCATGTAAACATTATATTAAAAACTAATAACTGCATTTTTGGCAGCTACAAAGCTTTCTTCTTCTAGATCTCCAGTAAACTCACATTTTATGATGAATAACATTAGATTCAATTTACCATGGGAATCACTCTCATTTATCCATACTATTGGAGGTAAACAAGGTATAGATCATTAAAAACCATGAATAATTGAAAAACGCTGTTACTTCAACTTTAAAATACACTACCTTCTTTCTCAGTTCCCTACTCTGTCCACCCTCTCTTTCCATCTCATTTCTTTCCAACTTTTGATAGAATAACACAGTGAATTCTGATTGTTGGAGACAAACAGCCCATGGAAATAGACAACTTAATAATTTATGGGCATCCAAAGGAGTAGATTGGGATTAACTCTATACTTAATCTAGTGCAATGCTTCTCAACCTTAACACTATTGAAATTCTGGGTAATTATTTGTCGTGAGGGGCCATCTGTTCATTGTAATATGTGTATGAACATCCCTGCCTCTGCCTACTATGTCAGTAACACACTCTCATTTTCTCACTCCCCAGATGTGACAACCAGAAATGACTCCAGACATTGCCAAATGTCCCTTGGGGAGTAAAATCAATCGCATTTGGTTGAGAACCACTGGAGTGGTTCATTGAGCTGCTTCTCTAAGGCACTGTGTTAAATTCTGGAATAAGAATGCTGTGTACAACTTGGTGTTTACAAGTTAGTGGCGGAGATTACCTAGGGGTAATGTACTTGCAGCCACTTGAAATGGGACCTCATGATCATTTTAGCTGAAAGCAGCATGTAGGGCTTGTGTTTCATAAGATTCATTGAAGAATGCTGTTGAATATAGTTTAAAATTACTCACATACTCTATGATGCCATTTGCAGGATAAACCAATGCTACAAAAAAATACCTTATAACAACCCAGCATGTCTGTCCTTCAAAGTAATGCCCATCTATCTCTCCGGATCCAGCTCAAATGATTATTATTTGTCAGTTTCATAATAGTCAGACACCAATACTCCTAAAACTCTTCATCTGATTGGCACATCAGATTACGTCTCTTCTGCAGCCCAGAAGAGTGCTTCAGTCGATTGTGGAAACTTGAAACAAAGCAGGAAGAATTGTTTAGGCACAGCTCACCCAATGAGAATGGACCCAGCTAGAACTTCTAGTTCTCTTTCAACGTGCCAGTGTCTAGGGCTAAAGAAGATGAGGACCACCAACCATTTCAAGGATGGAAGCCTGAATTAACCGAGATAATTGGCCAAGGGTCACAGAAAATGTCCTTTTAAAAATAATAACACTTACTCTTTTTCTTAACTGTCCCAGATAACACATTCAAATGAGCTTTTATTCATCTTCTTATATACTCACATAAAAGTCTGTTTTAAAATGATTTTTGCTCTGTTGCCTTTTTTATTAGAAATTTTTATTGGAATTCTTTTTCGCTCTTGTATCAAGAGCTGCAAAGCCTTGGAACATGAGATAAAGCCTAGTGCTGCTGTCTTATAGAATCTACCATGCAGGTAAAATTTTTAACACAAGCAAATTCTTCATCCTTTGCTGTGCAAACACCAAGAAAGCAATGATTCCTCTCCAACAGGTTTCTCCACATCTCCACACTGCTTCTCTTCACATAAGGGACACAGTGCCCAGCAAATGCAACTGCCCTGCTTACCTTGGCTAGGCTGTAGTCATGAGATGAGTCTGCAGATAGACTAAGTCCTCGGCATTTCAGCTGGAGATTCCCAAACTTGGCTGATCAACAGAATGATCTGGGAACATTTCAAAATTCAGTTTCCTGGTTTGCTTCAAAACCTGTTGGATAGAATCTCTGGCCATGATGATTTAAATTTTTGTAAAGTTCTGCAGGTGATTTTGATGATTAGCTGAATTAGAAATCATTGTATTAAGTTTTTAGATTCTGAGACTTGGTGCTGTCTTGGTAATGTCATTCTTCAATAAGGAGGTTCAATGATAATTGAATCAGCAGCAACCATGTCCCCAACTCAAAGATCAACTGTAGTAAAAATTGGAAAACTGAAGTATATTAGCATTAAGAAATGCTTTATTCTATGACAAATACGGGAAAAATATATCAAAAAAAACCTTATGCCCTGATTTTTTTGGAATATATTCGAATTAAATTATTGCCTTTGTAGTGCAGTAAATAATTTAAAAATTTAATAAATTCTATTTATTACTACCAAAATAGCTAAACCAAATATTGCAGACAACTTTTCACATATAGCACCTGCACAAAAATTTTCCCCAGCCCAACAGCTCAAATTTTGGTTCATTTACTCATTCATCAGAAATGTCTACTTCTAGAGACTTGATCTCAGTAATTAACTAGTTTTTGTTATATTTGGAAGAATAAGCCAGGGATCAAAACTAGAATGCAAAATGTCATACCTAATTGAATGCTGAACAACAAATGTCCAATAAAATCAGAGATTGTTTGAGATTGGTGGTAGTTTACTAAGGTAGTCAGGAGAATCATCCCTGAGAATAGAGATAGGGTCTGAAGAAAGGGAAAAATTAGAAGAGAGAACCTGGAGAGGTGCTTCAACCAACCTTTTACAGTTTCTCCCACTGCCTGATACAGTAGAAGACAGCTAAGAACCACTACTAGCTCTTAAAGATTTGATGCTTGGAAAATGGAAGTAGTAAGGCAATTTGATATTAACTGCAGGACCATCCATTGCAGCCAAAAACACTAACCATTAGTAAGTACATCTTTTTTCATCCAAGCTCTGATCTCAGCCAGCTTCATCTTTATCACCCATAGTAAAGGAGAATTAAAAGACACAAGCAAATCAGCTTCTAAATCAAGCTTATAACTAGTCATCTATAGGGACAGAGCAGTTGCCACATTGTTGAGCTTATTGTAGCTCATTGGTGTCCAATGTGATATACCAGGCCTTTGTAGGGTACTGAATTCTAGTAATTCAGTAACACAGATCACAGAAAATATATATTCTAGTAATTCAGTAACACAGATCACAGAAAATATATATATTTAGAAACTTGACTAATTTACTGGCAAAATGAAGTATCTCAAGAAATGTGTTAGCAGACTGCTCTCTGTGTTCTGAAAGAAATAAAGATTTTTGTTGTATTAGTGCCAAAAGCTTGTCTATTAATCTCATTTACATGCTTATTATAGATTAATGTTTTTGCCTAAAGTGATTAAACATAAGTATGTCCTATGTCCTCTCTGCCCAAATCTTTTGAATTTGTTTTGATTTGTTTAAATATCAACACAAAAATAATAATTTACACATGAAGTTAGTTTTGAAAATAAAGTTCATAGATGTCTGGAATTTTCTTGGGCTAACCTCAATAGGAAAGCATTCGGAGCAGCAAATTAATATGAGAAAAGCAGAATTCACAACAAAGATTACTACCAAAGATAAAGGGCACATCACAATAATGAAGGGTTCAATTCTTCAAGAAGATACAACTCTAAAAGTGTATGTGCCTAATAACAGAGCTTTAAAATGCATGAAACAAAAACTGATATAAATAAGAGAAATATACAAATTCATGATTGTACTTGGAGACTTCAACACTCCTCTCTCAGTAATTGATAGGTCAAGAAGAGAAAAAAAAAAATCAGTAAACACATAGAAAACATGAACAACACTACCAACCAGTCTAAACTAATTTACAACTGTAAAACTCTTTACCAGCTGAAACAGAATACACATTGTTTTCAAGTCTACAAGAAATATTCACAAAACAGACAATGATGTGAACCATAAGACAAAGCAGAATTCATTCAGAATACCTAAATTATACAAAGTGTTCTGGGTGTTTGCTAATGTTCTCCATGTTACAAAATAAACTAGAAATTAATAACAAGAAAATACCAGAAAAAGCTACAAATAGTTGAAAATGAAACAATATGCTTCTGATTAACCTATGGGTCAAAAAAGTACTGAGGCAATTAAGTTTTATCAAAAGTACTGAGGTAATTAAATTCGGGGTGAAAGGTTTTTTATAACAAATGGTGCTAGAACAACTAAATAGCCATATAAGAAAAAGTGAATATTACTCCTCACCTCACACCATATGCAGTAAAAAGTAAATTCTTAAACTATAAAGTACCTAGAAGGAAACAAGAAAATATTTGCTACCTTGAGGGACAGGAAAATATTTCTAAGACACAAAAACCATAAACCATAAAAGTAAAATTGATAAATTGAATTATATTAAAGTTTTAAATTTTTTCTCTTCACAAACAACATTAAGAAGGTACAACAACAACTGGCAGAAAATATTCACAATACATAAGCCTGAGAGAAGACTTCTATCCAGAACATAAAGAGAACTCTTATGAAATAAGAAAACAAGGTATTTAAAGTCAGCAAATAATTTGGACATACATTTCACCAAGTAAGAGACACAAATAGAGAACAAGCCTCTGAAGAGATACCTGACATCATTAATTATTAGAGAAGTTAAAAATAAAATCACAATGTGATACCACTATACATCCCCTAGAAGGGCTAACATTTTAGGGAGTAATTTCCTACTGCTATACAATAAATAGCACAAAATTAGCAGCAGATTTTTATCTCACGATTCTATAGGTCTGAAGTTCAGATGGATTTGACTGTGTTGTCTGTTCCAGGTTTCACCAGACCAAAATTTTAAGTATCGGCCAGGCAGGGCTCTTATCTGGAGGTCCAGGGTAAGTACCTGCCTCCAAGCTCATTCGGGTTGACGGGAGAACCCAGGTAGGGTTTTTTTGTGTGACTATAAAAATAAAGTTCTTATTTTTTGGTGACTGTTGTTGTCACGTGGGAACCACTCTTACATCCTGAGGACAGCCCTCATTTCTTCAAATAAGTAAAACCACATCAAGTTCTTCTCAAGCTTCAAATATTTAATATTTTTGACTTCTGACCTCTTCTTCTGCCACAAACCAGAAACGAACTTTTTTTTTTTTTTTTTTTTTTTTTTTAAACGAGCCTCCCTCTGTCGCCCAGGCTGGAGTGCAGGGGCGCAATCTCTGCAGGGGCACAATCTCTGCTCACTGCAAGCTCCGCCTCCCGGGTTCACGCTATTCTCCTGCCTCAGCCTCCCGAGTAGCTGGGACTACAGGCGCCCGCCACCACGCCCAGCTAATTTTTTGTATTTCCAGTAGAGATGGGGTTTCACCATGTTAGCTAGGATGGTCTCAATCTCCTGACCTCGTGATCCGCCCACCTGGGCCCCCCAAAGTGCTGGGATTACAGGCGTGAACCACCGTGCCGGGCCAAAACAAACTTTTTTATTTTTATTTTTATTTTTTTGGTTTTAAAGGTTTATGTGATTAAATCCGAGACATTTGGATAATCTCTCTATTTTAAGGTCAATTGGGCCATATAACATAACACAATCCCAGGAGTGACATCTAATCACACTTCTAGGTTCACAAGCAGGATGAAATTCCACAGGCATGGCTAAAGCTGTTATCCACAGGCAAGATCTCTTCTCTATCTCTAGCCCATCCTGAGATACTTGAGGAACAACGCTCTTAAGCTTCCTAGATGCCTTATTGTTTGCTTTAGAAGATACACAAGGAGCACCCTTAATCTCCTGGAAGGGCTTTTGTGCAGCTGAATACTCTGGTCCTTGGATCTTTCTGAGGTTCCAGCGAAAGTTGATGTAACAAGTTGGTGTCCTCAGCCTATTTTCTATGCCATGCTTTCAGCATCCATTTCTAAAATGCAGCCCCTTGTGACATCTGGACCTGCAAACAATTTCCCCATTATTGGGTTCTTGTTTCTTTTTGTTTAACAGTTTTTCACACAATTTATCTCTCTCCTCTCACATTTTATTAGAAGCAGCAAGAAGAAACTAGGCTGTACCTTCGACATTTTGCTGGAAAATCTTCTCAGCTAAATATCCAAGTTCATAATGTGTAAGTTTGCTTTCTATTTAAGTGTTGGAGACAACTGCTAAGCTCTCTGCCACTGTGGAGTAGCATATTACTTCCTCCAGCTTCCAGCATGTTCCTTACTTCCTTCCACACCCTCAACATTCTGAAAGTCTATATTGCTACTAAGCCTTTTCAAGGTGATCTAGGCTTTTGTCATGCTCCTCAAAATTCTTCCAACATCTGCCCAACTCCAAAGTCACTCACACATTTCACTTATTTGTTATGGCAACACTCACATCCAGGTATCAAATGAATATTAGTTTTTTTATGCTACATTAGAAATTACCACAAAATACAGTGGCTTTTAGTATCTCACAGTTCTAAAGGTTAAACTTCCCATTGAGTTGTTTAGGCTTTTTTGAGGTTGAAATCAATGTTTTGGCTTAGTTGGGCTTTTATCTGGAAGTCCTGGGAAAGAATCTGCTTCCAGCTCATTCAGTTGTTGAGACTGACTTTTATTTGTAGAACTAAGGTTTCCGTTTCCTTCCTGGCCATCAACCAGGAATCTCTCCAAGCTTCATCAGGAACTTCACCTGCTGTTCCTTTTCACATGGTCTCCTCCATCTTCAACAAAGGTATGTTGTGTCCTTCATAAGCTTTAAATTTCTCTGATTTCTTCTGATCCTCCCAAACCTATAAAATGCTGTTTTATTTATTTATTATTATTATTATTTTTTAAAGGGCTCATGTGGTTTAGGTCAGGTCAAGCTGAACAGTCATCCTTTTGTTGTACAGCATAATATCATATAGTCATGGGAGTAGCATTTCATAACGTTGCAGGTTCCATTTATACTCAACAAAAAGGGGATTATACACAGATAAGCTCCACTAGGGATCATTCTTAGAACTCTGCCTACCACCAAATCTTCTGGAGATGATAGAAATGGTCATTATCTTGATTGTAGTGATGGTTTTATCAGTGTACATAATGGTCAAACTCATTGAATTGTACAGTTCAAATAGATGTAGTTTATATCTCAATTAAAGTTTAAATAGCCCACTTTATCATATTTAAGGATTAAGTATGTAAAACATTCCCCTTGATGTCAGAAGCAAGATAAGGATCTGGCTTACTCTATTTACATCCTTTATGATTGTGCTAGAAGTCCTAACTAGTGAATAAAGCAAACAAAAAGTCATGAAAGGAATGAAAATATGGAAAGAAATAAGTATAAATGTCACATTGTGCAAAAGACATGATTGGGTATGTAAAAGTTCCAACGAATCTATAAAACACAGCATTAGAATAAGAAAATTACCAATGTTGCAAGGCTGAGGTCACTATACAAAAATAAACTGTGTTAGTATATGTTAACAAAAATTGGGGAAATAAAATTTT